TCCCATTGCTATTTCATAACTGTCATTTTGCTACTGTCTGAATCGGGCGACCCCTGTAAAAGGGTCATTTGACCCCCCAAAGGGGTCACGACCCACGGGTTGAGAACTGCTGATTCAAAGGGTGGTCAGACTTCTCAAGTACTCTTTCCTGATAGGTATACATTTTAACTCTAGAAATGCAAGGAAGCAAAAACTGATTTAAACGGTCTTCCTTCATAAACCCTAGTAGATCAGATTTTATCACTGCTTCTTAGACTCATTCTTCATATTCTTCTTCCTAATCCTGATCTATAACTCCAGCAACCATGTGAACACTTTGAGAATTTAGGTTAGATGTTCCTAATAAATGTTCTATGGCTCTTTCAGGCAGAAGTACCATTCTTAATAATTTCTGGTTTAATTACAGCTTTTAGCTGTTGCTCACGCCTCTGAATAACACTAGCATCCATTTGAATTCCTTGAGTATTTAGGTTAAATTTCCCTGATAAAAATGGTATTCCTCTTTCAAGCAGAAACTCCTGCTTTTTAGCATCAACAGGCTGCTGTGAGAGCTTCTGAGCCTCTTCTTGGTTAGTCCAACTTACTGCAGCGAGAACAGAGGCTGGGTTAGGTCTGTTTTTCTGCTGTGAGATGGGGGTTACCTGTGACTGCTGCCCTTCAAAGCTTCCTTTTCTGGGTTAGGCAGAGGCCTTGCCTTCTGTGCTCTGCTGGGCAGGGTCTGGATCAAGCTCTGTTCTCTATTTCCCTGCTGGGAAGCCTTTGCTAATGGGAAACACAGGAAGATGCGGACAAAACTAGAGAACGTGGTGCTCAGCAAACTCAGTCCATCTCGAAGAGATATTTAATGACGCCGTTATTATAAGGGTGAAAAAGTGGGGTTTGCACCAAAAGATAAGATGATGAAGACTACAGAAGGCCAGGGAAGGGGACAGGGGGAGGGTAGGAAGTGATGGGGGGAGGAAAGGACCCCATTTATGGGGGGAGTGTTGACAGGCTATTATGACTGATTACTTTTGTTGAGATGGCTGTGCAGCTACAGAGAATCTGCTTCTTGTAAAAACGAAACCAATGAAAGAGCAGGAAGGCCCCGCAGCCTCAGAAAATCCCCGATCCCTTCCCCTGGGGCTCTAATCACTGATCCCTTCCCCTGGGGCTCTAATCACTGATCCCTCCCCCCTGGGGCTCTAATCACTGATCCCTTCCCCTGGGGCTCTAAGCAGTGGTGACTCAAAAGCTGCGGAAAAGTAACACTGGAGTGGACTGGGGAGTCTTGAATGAGAGGCATACAGGCTCCTTTCAAACATTTGAAAACAAAATGAGGTGAACAGGTGAATATCCCACTGCACTGGGGCAGACGGGCGGGCCAGGGCCTGCAGGCGTGGCTGTTAGTGCTCTGTGGACTTGAACCCCCGTGCTTCCTCTTGCAGCCCCACAGCCTTGGGCAGGTGTGTAAAGGCCCTGCCCCCCTTATCACCACAGGGGGCATCTGAGCCACTGCTTCCCACGGAGGCCCGAGGTCTGAGCTCGGTCAAGTCCAAGGTGCATTGGGAACACTGAAGTCCCTCCTGGGTCGGCGGGACGCTTGATGGCCTCAGCTGCCAGTGGAGAAGCTGGAGGTTTGAGGCCTCCCTGCGCTGCCCTGGCAGAAAGGCCTGGGGATCAGCTTCGCCCTGGCCCCGCTGTACAGCAGCACCTCTACTCCGACCTGGACCATGGCTTCAGCAGCCAGCCAGGAGTCCTGGTGGGGCAGTGGGTTAGGCACCGGACTGCCAATGGAAGAATCAGCAGTTCAAACCCCCTCCGCAGCTCCGAGGGCAAAAGACGAGGCTGCCTGCTCCTGGGAAGAGTTACAGAAAGAGTCAGAGCCCAGGGGACCCTACGGGGCAGTTCGGCCCCATCCTGGAGGTCCCTATGAATCAAGGAGCAGTTTCGCCCTGTCCTGGAGTGGAGCCGACTCCGGGGCTGTGGGTGGGCGTGGGTTTGGGCAGAAGAGTATGTGGAGATCGGTGACTCTCCACCTCAAAACGCACTGCCATTGCTGCCATGTGAGCTGGCTGCACCCCACACGACAGGGGAGGACCGCCGAGACTGTCGCTCAACTCTCTCCCTAGGAGCGGATGGGGAGAGAGACCAGTGGCTGCACTTTGGATGGCTGCTCCTGAGCTTTCGAGGCCCCAGCCGCTGCTCACCCCGGTGGGGCACCGAGCACTGTCTGTGTGGCCTCCGCACTTTGAGACAAAGACAGTGCTGGGCGCCCCACCGGGGTGAGCAGCAGCTGGGGCCCATCTGGAGGGCAGACCAAGGGATGGAAATGGATGACACACGGAATCATTTCATCTCACGGACTCTTGGACCACGCACACATCAATCTCCAGGACCCTGAGACCAGAGGAACAGAGGGTGCCCGGCTACCACTTCCGACTTCTCTGAAAAGGACCCTTGAGGAAACCCAAGGCAAAGCAGGAGGAAAAAGGTGGAACAAAACTCAAAATCTTAGAAATAAAAGAAAGACCCAACTTGACTGGTCAGATAGAGGGTGGGGGGCGGGTGAGGACGGGTCTCTGAGATGCATCCGGCACTTCATCAATGTTTGGGTCTGGGACCAAACTCACTCCGGGGCTCCACATGCAGCTGAACTGGTGGGCATGGAGCAGTAAACACGAGGGAGGTGCCACACCTTAGGCTAATGGACCATTTGAGATCCCAGGGGCAGCTGTTGCCCGGGGACACAGTTCAGACGGGCTAGGGGAGGAGGAGGGAGGTGGGCTGAGTGCCGCTACCCTGCGGGGCTCAGCAAGGCCTGAGATGCAGTCAAGTGTGGTGAGCGGTCGAGTGTAAAAGGGACGCCATGCTCTGGCAGTGAAAAGTTAAAAAGAGAAAAGTCCCTTGGACAGACACTAGGGCTTGTGGGGACTGGAGCTCAAGACCCACCAGCCTCGGTTGGCCCTCTTTCTCGGGTTGCAGGGGACCCTGCCCTCCATTGGCCACAGATTTGGGGTTAAAACTATTGGAAACCAAGAGAAGTGTGTGTCAATTAGCAAGGAGCTCTGAGGCCCCATGGGGGAGGGGCTCAGCTGCAAGCCTACCAGGGGAGAGGGGCCACTCAGACCCACCGCGCTCCGAGGGGGAAGACGAGGCCGTGTGCTCCCGTGATGGTGTACGGCTCGGAAAACCCTATGGTGTGGTTCTGTCCCACTGGGTCCCTGAGAGGCAGGATCGGCTGGCCAGCAGTGAGTGGGTGCTATGCCGTCACTAGGCTGGGTCTTGGGACTTGCTGCCAGCCTCAGGTCTCCTTGGGTTTCTGAAGATTCTGAAGTTTCTTCGGAGGATGAGGTTCACGATGGAGTGGGCCTCCCGAACCGCAGGTCTTAGGGAATGAGGCACAGGGTCGTGTCTGCCCGGGCGCTCGCAGATGGGCTGCCACCAAGCAGGAACTTTTAGAAGCAGCATGTGGCCCTTGGGGTGGGGGCTCAGCCCAACCTCCGGGGTTTTGTAGAGCTCCCAAATGGAGACCCACGGGGTCAGAGACCAGAGACATCCCAAGGGGAAAGCCTCCTTGCAGATCGTGGGGGACCCCGGCATGGGCGGTTGTAGTATTAAATTAAAAGTGACGCAGGGGAGTGGGGTGCCAGCCCCACCCGCTCGCTGCTTGAACTCACTGGTTCAGTAATACTACTTCTGGGTTCAGTAATGCACAATTGCACGGTTGAGATATATAAGCATTATATTAAAGTCATTGAGAGCATGAGAGATAATACAATAATACAGTCAGACATATTACATGGTAGCATTGCTCACCTCCGCCCCGCTTGGTGGTCCTCGTGGGGGGAACCCGGCTGCCAGAGCAGGAGCCGCCTCCCTTGCGGGAGCTGCCCTCTAGTCCACCGCCCTCATGGGAGCCGCCCTCACGGGAAGCAGCCCTCCTTCCTCAGGCGCCCTCTCCAGCCACCCTCTCGAGAACCAGGGAGCCTCCTTATTTATTGCTAACCACGCATCATATTACTTTAGGGGGATACATCGCAGCATCATGCATCACAGAGAGGGGCAATACAATTCATCCTTGAACAGGTTTGGTCATTCTGGTGTCTCATACAATAAAGCAGGCAATTACCATCCTGGGAGGCATGCAAGCCCCCTGATAGCAGATAACAACCTACTTCATAGAGAGGGGTTGTAACATAGGCAATACAAGCAATAGGAGGGGGGTGACTTAGTCATCTTAGAGTGGTCCCGGGCTTGCCTTTGGGCACTGCTTCGAGGGAACAATGTCAGAAGGGAATGGGCCCTATTTGGGGTGAGTCAGACTATACAGTCTGGCCGCTCTAGATGGCTGATGTTAAGGAGAATAACCTCTGACCTATTTTCGCTGCCTAAAGAACAGTCATTCTCAAGCTAAGTCTGGCATATATTTTGGGGAGACAACTTAAGAGAAATCCTCCTGTTCCTCACAGGCGGTCCCTATCCTGCCCCCCACCCTGACTTTCAGGAGGACCTTCCTCTTGGGGATAGGTGCAGCCCCAGACGAACACTCCCTGCAAGGCTCGGAGTGGGCACCCTGGGGAGCCAGGACCCATGTCTCTAAAAGGAACAAGACCTGCCTCCCCAGGGGCGGAGCCACCAGGCACCTTCACGCTGACCCCGATGCGTGGGCGCCGTGTGGGTGTCAGGGGAGGACGGTGCCCCTGCCCCAGGGCCCTCCAGCCTGGCTCCATTGGAAGAGATCTACAGGCCTTTCATCCAAGGTCCCTATGGGTGGGCAGGGCCTGAACACCTTTGAGAGCTGGGGAGCACACTCAGGACTCGTCACATGCAGGGACTCCCAGAGGAATTTGGGTTGCTGGAACAGAGGAAGGGGAGCGGGGGTTGGGCAGGTGCATACTGGAGGAGTTGGAACCAGTTTGAAGTCACATGTCAGCTCAAGGCGGCCTTGGGCCGCTGCCATCTCCGATAGCTGCTAGATTCAAGGGGAAAAAGAAGGCCCCAGGGCCCTGCTCAGTCAACACACCCACACTCACGTCATGTGACTTCTGAGAATACCGAAACCAGGCCCCACCCTGGGCAGCCACACTGAACCCGCTGCAGGCCACGGGCCGGCTCCTGCTGCCGAAGAACCTCAGGTTCCGGGATTACCTCCACATCACCTGGGCAGGTAGGCCTGTCTTTCCAGGGCTGGGGCCCCTCCTCCCATACGTGAACTCCAACTCTACATTTTAACAAGAACTAAGATTTCTGTGGGTACAAGTAGCACTTGGGGGGGGGCCATGAGGACCTCTAGGGGGGTGCAGATTCTCAGGAAGTCCAACCTGCAATGAACTGATTCTTAGGCAAGCCCCACCCCACCCCCACGCAGTGTCTCCTTGCTGGATGGTGGACGCTCTTCTCTCTGTGCGGTGGCTTCCCAGACTGGCGCTGGGGGCTCAAGAGGCTCAGGGTCACCAAGGACAGTTGGCCTGGCTGTCCACTGCTCAAGGCTCCAGTCCAGGAGTCAGCTAGCAGTCTGCATTGGTGGCCAGGTAGACCCCCGCCTGGATGCCCCCGGAAGTGCACCTTTCTAACCTGTACACAGAGGCGCCCCTGTGCGCGCACCCAGGACTCGACTGCCTGCTCCTGCCCTGCCGGAGCTCCCATCCAGGCAGACACACCTGGCAGCTGAGGTGTCTGAGGGTGGGGAGGTGACCACCCAGCCTGGTCCTGCTGAGATGAAGGCAGTACAGGCCAGGTCTGTGTTGCCCCTTAGCCCAACTGCATCTGGCCCACAGGTGTGCACTTGCAGGCTGTCTAGAGTCAGGGCAGGTCTTCGGGTCAAGGTCAGGTCAGGGTTCATGAGCCTGTGCTTTGAGCCAGGCTCCCAGGCGCTCCTGCAAATGCCGGGGAGCTGAGGAGAGGCCACTTGCTGGTCTGGCCTTATCTCGGCTCAGCAGCTACCTGTCCTGGCCTGGCTGCGCTGCAGGGAACCATGCAAGTCCTTCATACTCACATGCTGGCAGGGTGGGGGTGGTAGGCTATTCAGAGGGGGACAAGGGGCGAAAGGCACCCTGGAGAGGTGGGGGGAGCAGCACCCTGTCCACAGGAGCCTGAGTGCACTCACCACTGGCCCCACCCTGTGCCCATTTTTGGCCACCATCTCCTCCCAGAGCCTGGCTCCTGCCACAGTCCCCTCTGACCCCACCAGCCACACCCCTGCCCGCTGCAGGCCCTGCCACCCTCCCCTGTCCTTCCCCCTCTCCTACCCCACAAGCCACACCTGCCCGCTGCAGGTTGGCCCACCTCCTCCTGCACAACGAACTGTATCAAAGGTCTCAGTCCTGTGGTCGGTGTGGGTACGCCCACGGGGCCTGGTTATCTGCCCTGAGTGCACCTGCCCACCCTCCTCACCCAGCCTCAGCCCCTGAACCACCCCCCCCCCCCCCCCCCCCCCCCCCCCCCACCCCCCCCCCCCCCCCCGCCAGCCTCACATGGCAGCCACATATGGCCTGAGCCCCCCAGCCCACCCCTTCTCTGGCCAAATCTTATCAGCCTGAGGGACGGCCTTCAGATGGGGCACCCACAGGCCGCACCCCCAGCTTTGCCTTCCCTGCCATGCTGCAAGCCCTGGAGGGCCCCCTGCAGGCGGTGCAGGAGGGGTTTCTGGGGTTCATCCTTGCCCGTGTTGTGTCTCCCTCTGCTGCAGGCGCCAGCTCAACCATGGTCCTCCGACAGCTCCTCTGGGCATGGCTGCTGCTCTCGGGAACGCACGGTGAGACTGCGGTGACAGGAGAAGGCCACCCCTCCTACTCTGTGGCCTGAGTCTCTCTCCTGCTCCAAGACTCTGCCAGGCCCCCACCCTCCTGGCACCATCACTGCCAGGCCAGTGTCGGGCCTCCAGGGGCCTCCGGCTTTCCATAGGCACCCTGGATCAGATCAGCCACTTCCACTCAGGGACACCCCAAAGATGAGGTTCGCACACCTCCTTATTGGGGGTCTGTGTGTATCTCTGCAACCCCAGGACAGGCTCCCCGGACAGCAGACCAGCCCAAGATGGAAGGAAGTCGGTAGCCCTGGAGCAGTGGGCCTGGGCGGGCGAAGGGACAGGAGCCCACCGTGGCCCCGGGTGGGTGAGAGGACAGGAGTCCATTGTGGCCCCGGGTGGCCTTTGTTCCCTGCAGGCCTGGACAACGGTGACATGAGGCTGGTAGGCGGGAGTTCATCCAGCGAGGGCCGAGTGGAAATCTTCTACAGAGGCCAGTGGGGGACAGTGTGTGACCACCGCTGGGACCTCATCGACGCCAGTGTGGTCTGCCGTGCCCTGGGCTTCAGGAATGCCACCCAGGCGCTGGGCAAGGCCACCTTCGGGTCAGGTAGGGCCTCTGACGTTCCCCAGGACTTGGCCCGGCAGGTGACACACTCAGCTGATGCCTGCAGACTCCCGTAGAGAAGCAGGCAGAAGCCCGCCCTGGGGACCAAGCTCCTTGAATCCGCCCCCACCCCCCAGTCACAACTGTGGGTGGAGGACACTCCCTCCCCTGCCCTTCCACACCACCCCCTACCCCCATAGCCCACCTGTGATTTTCAACAATCACCAAGGATCTAAGCCCTCAGCCGCTGGGGCAGCGAAGCCCGTGCTGCTCGATGCAAACCGGGAGTTCAAATCCGCCTCTCACCTTCGAGGGGGGAAGATTGGACCTGTTAATCACCATGCAGAAATGTACACTTAGGGACGGATTTCCCCGGCCGAGCTTGCTGGGTTTGGAAGACATCTGTAAATACAGGCACACAGTGGGGGTGCGGGGGGGTGGGTAACTGAAACAGCAAAGAGCTGGGGGGCAGGGGGGCCTTTACCTCAATGGCCCTGGCTCTCTCCTGCCTGCGTCCTCAGGATGGGGCCCCATCATGCTGGATGAAGTGGAGTGCACAGGGACCGAGTCTTCGCTGGCCCACTGCAGGTCCCTCGGCTGGCTGCGCACAGACTGCAGCCACAAGGAGGATGCCGGCGTGGTCTGCACCAACGGTGAGCGGGCACCTCCCCAGATGTCAGTGAGCGCCCAGCTGCGGGCCCCTGGGTGGTGTGCACAGCTTAGGTGCCAAGGAAGAAAGGCCTGGATATGTCTCCCAAAGAATCAGCCACTGGCAAGGCGGTGGCTCCCAGCTCCGCCCTGACACGGGGTCACAGGCAGCGGCTTGACTGGGGTGGACTCCTGGGAGGCAGGTCCTGTTTCCGAGGTCTCAGAGGGAACAATGCACACAGTTGGTGTCAAAGCCGAGTCTGGCGTCTGACCCAGCACACCTCCCTTGTAGAAACCGGAGCCGACTCAGCCATCCACACCCTCGACCTATCCCGCGAGCTCTCGGAGGCGCTGGGTGGGGTCTTCGACAGCCAGCAGGGCTGTGACCTGTTCATCAGCGTGCAGGCCAGTGGTGCGGAGGCCCTGAGCCTGTGTGCCCACACGCTGATCCTCTCCAGCAACCCCGAGGCCCAGACCCTGCTGAAGGACCCGAGCAGCAGCATCATCATAGAGGTGGACACGGAGTGCCTGCCTGTTGTCTCGGACTTCGTCAGGTGCGCCCCCACGGGAGTGGGGACTCGGGAAGCCCACCACAGAAGCCCAGGCACCAGTCAGAGCACACAGGCCCATGCATGCCCCCTCCGATCTCCCCCATACAGGCACATACAGGACAGACACAGTCGTCACACAGACACATACACTGCATAGACATGCAGACACCAAACATTTGCCCCCCTGCACACACACACACACACACACACGCCTGTACCCACCACACTCATTCACACACCACTGTCTACACACACACCTACACATGCCACACACATTACATTTCCACACACCTACGCCACACTCACACGTACACATTAATACACACACAACACATGTGCATTCACACCTGTACACATCACACTCACATCACACAAAGACAACACTCTCCCATAGACACTCATAAACACCACACACATCCCTACACATATCACACTCACACCTTCAAACATCACTCATTCATGCACATACATTAGCACATGTACAACATACTCACATACACACACCTACATCCCACATGGACATACCTACCAACAGTGCACTTACACTTACACACGTCACAATCACACATACATCACTCACACTTAGACTCACACATGCCCACTCAGACACACACACATGCATGCAGCCCCACAGACACCATCAATGTACAGTCAATATGCTCACACACGACAGACATGCTTAATCACGTGAGCTCACACCTGCACTCAAACACACTCCATGCACACACCCAGTCTCCCCGGCAGACACATAGGCACACAACACAAGCGCACTCATTCACACCTATCCTGTCACACACCCACTCGGGCACACCCTCACGTGCATTCACATACTTGCATGAGCACACGCAGGCATGAACACACACATATTCCCAAGGCAGAGGAAGAGGCTGCCTCTAGCCAGGACCCCAAGGCCCCTGGGAGCCTTGTGCCTGGCTGCCCTGCACCAGCACGCTGTCGCCCACAGGTACCTCTACTCACGCCAGCTGGCCGTGGCCCCGTCGTCCGTGAAGTGCTTCCACCAACTGGCCTCCTCCTACGGGGCCGAGCGGCTACAGGACTACTGCTCGCGCCTCTTTGCTATCCTCCTGCCCCAGGACCCCACCTTCCAGACGGCCCTGGACCTGCACACCTATGCCCTGGCCACCAGGGACACCCTGCTGGAGGGGCTCTGCGCGCAGTTCCTGGCCTGGAACTTCGAGGCACTGAGCCAGGTGGCCGCCTGGCCCCACGTGCCTGCCGCCCTGCTCCGCACATTGCTGTCCAGGAGCGAGCTGGCCGTGTCCAGCGAGCTGGCCCTGCTCAAGGCTGTGGACGCTTGGGCTCGCAAGAGCCTGGCCCCCCCAGCGGTGGTGACCAGCCTCCTGGAGGAGGTCCGCTTCCCCATGATCCTGCCCGCTGACCTCTTTGAGCTGCAGTACAATGTGTCCCTGCTCCACGGGCACGAAGCACTGTTGCAGTCCAAGATGCGGCAGGCCCTGGAGTTCCACACCGTGCCGCCGCAGCTGCTGGGCCGCTACTGGGGGCTGAACCTCACCCAGGACGCCTACCAGCCTCGGCTCTACACAGGGTCCACCTGGAGCACCTCCATCTCGGCGAGCCCTCGGGGCTCCTTCAGAGAGGACTCCGGCTACTACAAGCGCACCTACTACCAGTCTTACACCCCCCAGCCTTATGGCTACCAGTCCTACCCATACCGGTCATTCCGCACCCCCCAGCACCCCAGCTTCCTCTTCCAGTCCACGTCCCTCTCCTGGACCCTCTACCACCTGCCCAACATGCAGAGCTGCTGGAACTACGGCTTCTCCTGCACCTCCGACGAGCTCCCCGCCCTGGGCCTGACCAGGTCCAGCTACCCGGACGCCGCCATCGGCTTCGAGAACAAAGCCCTGATGCTCTGCCAGGGGGGCTTCGTGGTCCACGTGGCCGACTTCAGCGGCAAGATGGCCCCTATCCCCAGCGCGCTGAGCGGTGGCAACGGCTCTGCCAACGCGTCCCTCTTCCCCTGCCCGTCGGGCACCTTCAGCAGCTTCCAGGTGGTCATACGGCCCTTCTACCTGACGAACTCCTCCCTGGACTTCTAGATAGTCTGGCCAGGACCTGCCTGCGGCAATCCCCTTAGCCGCCACCAGGCGTCTCCCCTGCCCACGCTCGTCCCCAGCCCATGGAAACTTCCCGAAGCGGCCACGGCCCTCCCCTCTCTGCAGGCTGCAGGGCAGCAGGCCCTGGGCACCTCGTCCTCCTCTGAGCCCTTGCCTTCGACCATTACAGCTGTCCCACGAGTCTCGTCCGTGTGTCTAAGCCGTGTTTCATGTGGGTGCAGGGAGAATGGGGGGAGAATGGACACGCCATGGGAAGTGGCCAGACCACTGGGGGAGGGGTCAGCGCGCATGCAGACAGGTGGAGGGCCACCCCAATGGCGCTGAGTCTGGAGGGTTGGGCGGCAAGGTCTCCACACCGTGGGGGCGGGGGGTGCTAAGGTGCGTGTCCCTGGCGGAAAGAGAGGCACGTTCTGGAGCCCTCCTTCCATGCACCTTCCATGCGCGAGCACGCATTTGGGGATGGGAACCTGCTGCTGGCGGTGGGATCCCTGCCCAGGACGCCCCCACGGCTACCGAGTAGCATGGGCCCCCAGAGAGTCTACCGCGACCAGTGTTTCAGAAACAGGTCACCAGACCTTTCTTCCGACGCGCCTGGGAGGGGACTTAACCGACTCCAGCCTCCCATCACAGCCCACGGAGCTGCATCGTGTCCGCCCTTTGCACCGCCCAGGGGCGGGGCGGGGCCTCCCTCACTGATGTCTGTAGGATGGGTGCTGGGGTCCAGCGGGGCAGGGGGCTTTTCTGGAAGGAGGGCCTGATAGCTCTGAGAGTCCCAAGGGAGGGGGCTGGGAGCGGGGCTCGAGGAGCGTCCAGTACAGTCTGGTGGGAGCATCGCCAGGGAGTCCCTCCTGCCGGGCAGGCCCCTTGAGCTTTTCAGTCGCTGCTGATGACAAGGTGGTGGCTAGAGGGATGGGAGGGGTCTTGAAGCCCTTCCATCCTCTCCACTGCTGAGCGGCAGCGCTGTTCCATGAGAAGCAGACACATACACCCCTTGCCATCTGCCCCAGGACGTGAGCAGCCCCAGAAGACAGGTGTCCGTCCCTCTCCCTCGTGGGAGCCCTCCCACTGGGCAGCAGCCCAGTACCAGATGCCCAGCAGAGCCCTGTCCCTGGGCTACACTAGCCTGGCTATTCGCCTTTGAGCCTCCCTGGGGACAGCTAGGAGCACCTGTCACCCTGTCCCAGGAAGGTGACCTGAATTGGGCAAAGGGAGGCTCTGACTCTCACGACCTCCAGCCCTCCCTGGTCACCCATCCAGAGAGTGAAATGACCTCCCTCAGGTGGGCTCCGGGCTGTGTCCTCAGTGGGCCTTAGTGCCCCTGCCTGGCCCGCCGCCCAGCCTGCAGGGAGGTGAGCTCCCTGGGGCTGCCCAGGTGCACAGTGCGGGGAGCCACCTCTGGGCCATGTCCCAGGCTCCTTACTCCCGGAGCCCTTGAATGCTTTTGTTTACGACACACCCAGAGATGCTCGGCCACTGTGATGGAGAGAACTCTCAGAATCTCAGGTGAGTGCACCTGAGCTCCAGCCTCACATGGCGATGTGAGATGCTCCTGTCTCAGGAATAGGACGGTAAAGGCAGCCTTTCTGAGAGTCTGAGAGTGGGCCGTCCAGGACTGGGCAGGGGTTCCAGCTTCCTGGGAGGCCCAGGCTCCTTCCCTTCCTACACCATCATTTTAGCGCGGCTGTCTCATGGGCCATACATGGCTGCTACATCTCCAGCCATCGCGCCTGCCTTTCGAACATCAGGAAGCGGGGAGCAGACCAGGACAAAGGGATACCCCAGATGTGCAGCCCCTGAGAGTGAGTGTCCCCTCCCTAAGTTTTGCACCTAAGGCTCCTCGCCCACCTCACCCCCACCGGGCCCAGCGCTGGAGCAAGAGAAACCTTTGGTTTCTGGAGTGCTGCAGGAGTGAGATCAGGGACTCCCAGGCCCTGCGCTTCTGCCCTGCACGCTCACACACGCACACGCACGACAAGACTCACACCAGGATACACACCTGCCAGATGGCATCACCCAGCCACACTCAACCACACATTCGCATACAATCACACTCAGACACACAAGCACACGCACATTTACACAGTCACATGTATACACACACTCACACAGCCACACTCAGTCATAGTCTTACACAGTCACACTCACACAACCACACTCACATTGACAGTCACATATATACACACACTCACACATTCTCACACAGACACAGACATTCAGACACACACACACAAATTACACACACTCAGCCATACCTTCTCACACAATCACAGACACACAACCACACAGAGCCACACACATTCACATATACTCAGTCACATATGCATTCTCACACATAAGTCATACTCACACACATACAGAGCCAGGCCACATACATGGACACACAGACACACACACAGTCACACTCACACATTCTGACACTCACACACACACAAAAACAGCACACATATAGACACAAAAACACACACACACACACAATTGTGTACCACAACCATACGCAGACACTCACATCCTGACACATACTCAGAGCCACACACTCACACTCACTAGCGCACATGTAAGTGTGGACCACAGCCGTCTGCACATGTGAGCAGGCACACCTGCAGGGACTTGGACACAGGGCGGGGTAGGCAGGGGCATGGACAGATGCTGGTTCCTTGTCTGGGACGCGGCAGGCTTGGGGTGAGGAGGAGGAGGATGTGAAAGGGGCCAGACCATGCCCTATGCCAGCCCCCCAAATGCACAGCCCCCTATAGGCCCTGCTCCAGCGCTCACAGGGACGCCCAGTCAGAATCAACAGGACAGACATTAACTAGGGAGCTTCCCTCCGCCCGCCCCCCACCTCAGGAGGACACCTGGTGCCTCTAGGCCGCAGTGTCTTTCAGAAGCACTCTCCCACGTGGCTTCCCTGAGCACGCCGTGGCCGTGGCTGGGGGGGCGGGGGAGGCAAGGGCGCAGGGCAGCCTCAGGAGGAGCTGGATGGAACAGGGCCGATGTGGCAGCAGCTGATCTCCAGCAGGAATGTGTTGGGGGGCGGGGGGCGCCCGCCGGGAGCCAAGCGTGAGGAAGAAAAGCTGTAACAGTCGGGAGGGGCTTATGTTCGAGTCTCTGTCCGGCCTCAAGAACTGTTCAGAGGTGGCTCTACCTGGCCAGCTTGGGGGGCGCATGGGGGCCACTGTAGTATTAAATTAAAAGTGGCGCGGAGGGAGGTGGGGGTCCAGCCCCCACCGCTAATACTCTCTACGGGTTCAGTAAGTACAACTGTACAGTTGAGATATATAAGCATTATATTAAAGTCATCGAGAGCATGAGAGAGAGTACAATAATACAGTCAGACATATTACATGGTAGCATTGCTCACCTCCGCCCCGCTTGGTGGTCATCATGGGGGGAACTCGGCCTGCCAGAGCAGGAGCCGCCTCCCTCGCGGGAGCTGCCCTCTCGTCCACCGCCCTCATGGGAGCAGCCCCCCTTGTCCACCTTTCTCATGGGAGCAGCCCTCCTTCCTCAGCCGCCCTCGGCCAGCCACCCTCAGCCAGCCACCCTCGCGAGAACCAGGGAGCCTCATTATTTATCGCTAACCATTATTTATTGCTAACCACGCATCTTATTGCTTTAGGGGGATACATCACAGCATCATGCATCACAGAAAGGGGCAATACAATTCACAACAACCTGCGTCATAGGGAGGGATTGCAACATAGGCAATACAAGCAACAGGAGCGGGATGACCTAGTCATCTTAGAGTGGTCCCGGGCTTGCCTTTGGGCACTGCTTCGAGGGAACAATAACAGAAAGGAATGGGCCCTATTTGGGGTGAGTCAGACTATGCAGTCTGGCCGCTCTAGATGGCTGATGTTAGGAGAATAACCTCGGACCTACTTTCGCTGCCTAATGAACAGTCATCCTCAAGTTAAGTCTGGCATATATTTTGGGGAGACAACTTAAGAGAAATCCTTCTGTTCCCCACAGGCCACTGGCTGGAGCTTGTGGGGGTGCCTAAGGGGGGAGGTGTTGTGGTTGCTGTGATCAGCCGGTGTGCGGTCGTGCCCCACAGTTGGTGATGCGGCCTGAGATGGCTAGGATCCACAGGGCCCCACTGCCTGGTTTACAGAGGACCCGGCCCTTTTGTCCTTGTCTGTCTTTGTTGGAAACTGCTAAGACCCAGGGCCTGGAAGAAGTCCACTGCCGGAGTTGGGCTGGGATGGAGGGAAGACAGGAAGTCAGACAAAGTCCTGGGGCTGGGAGACCTGAGGGTCATCCCAGTGGGGCAGCCAGGACTCTGGGCCACCACGGCCCTGGGCAGGGTAGGGCAGGAGCAGAAGAGCCCGAGCCAGCTCCCTGCCTGGTTCTGCTCAGACCTGGCTGGAGGGGGGAGTCAGGAGGCCTGGCCCAGGCTTTCCTGACCTCTGCCCCCCCATAAACAGCCCCCTGAGGTCACCTCGTAAAGCTTCACAGGACAAGGAGGTCTAAGCCTTCAGCCTCCCCTCCCCCAGATCCAGGGAACTGCAGAGACACTTGGCCCGTCTCCTGGGACCTGGAATCAAGGCTTGTCCTAGTGCCCTGGTGGCACAGCAGTTGAAGCGCTTGCCTGCTAATTATTAGGTCAATGGTTCAAACCCACCAGCCTTTCCAAGGGAGAAAGATGAGGCTGTCTGCTTCTATCAAGACTGACAACCTCGGAAACCCTAGGGCACAGTCCTGCCCTGTCCTGCGGGTTTAGGTTGGGGTTCTAGGGTCCTGCAGCTCCCTATCAAAGAAGGCAAGAGTGGGGCTCAAACATCATGCATTTCGTCTCTCACAGCCCTGGGGCCAGATGTCCAAATCAAAGCTGTGGGCAGGACTGGCTCCTGGAAGCTGCTCCAGGGATGGCTGGGCCCCAGGTGCCCTGGGGATGGCTGGGTTCTGGGCACCCTGGGACTGGGGTCGGCTGGCTTCAGGTGCCCCGGGGGACAGCTGGGTTCCGGGCCTTTTCCGGAATGGGGGAGGGTGGAGCCTGGACAGAAGAGGTCACAGTGTCACATGGGCTAAGATCCAGTGGTCAGGTGCGTGACATCAGGAGCCCCGGCTGACAAAGCCTGGGGTGGGGCCGACCTCCTACGTCCTGTTGTCAGAGCCACCTTCTCCAGCATCCTCGCCCCTCCCTGACTTCTCTCCTCACTCCTCACTGTTGGAAGCTTTGGGAACATCG